CCGCCGCGCCAGGGGCGTGTGGCCCAGGCTCACGAGGGACTCCCCTTGCGGCAGCCGAGGCAGCGGCACCGTCCACCGCGGACATCTTGCAGCCGCCCCTCGACGCCCCTGCGGACGTGGACGACGACGGGGGGCTTGAAGCAGGCGTCTACGACGACTACCTGGACGATCAGGTGGCGGACGAGGATGCGTACCACGAGATTGGGTTTGTCAACCTGGATTGGTGGGACGCCATCGGGTGGGGCCGCATCCTGCTACAAGGCGCGCCCGCCACGGCCATGGTCCCCGACAGCATGGCTGCCGCCGTTAGCCACGCGAAGGTGCGGCTGTGCCTAGCGATCGATCAGGCCCGCCAGGGCAGCGATGATCAGGCGTCGCGCACGCTGACGCGGCCGTGGAAGGTGTTCTTATCGTTGGGTGGGCTGCTGTTCAGCGAGAACGCGACCCCGACCCCGACGACGCGACGAGAGCGTCTCCAGGAGCGTTTGCAGTGGATCCAGGACGGCCAATGGGATGTCGCCTGGCTCTCCATGGAGGACCAGACGCGCACCTCGGTCACCGCGAAGGGCCGCGAAGACCACGTCGCGGCCCGCGTTCGCCGTGCCACCGAGCTCGCGCGAGCTGGCGAAATGTCTCGGGCGGCAGCGGCAGTGTGGCCCCAGGGTGACATGGCGGATGCAGCGGCGGTTGTGGGGAAGTTCAGCACCGCCCAGCAGCCTGCGGCGCCTCGCCCAGGCGAATGGGGCCCTCCCCCTGGCACTGGGGCCGCCCCGCATGGGCCAGGGGGGGGGGCCCGCGGCGGCGGGGGCCGATGTGGCGATGCCGCCAGCCACGCCCCCTCACGAGCTCAACGGCGCGGCAGAGCTCCACCGCCGTGTGGCCAACCACCTCAAGCGCCAGTTTGGCTGCTTCCCCCGCCGCGGCGGGGCGGGACCTGGAGGAGGACGCTGCGAGCACTGGGCCCCGCTCAAGCACGACGAAGACGGAGCGGAGGCGGTGGCCAACACGCTGGCGCGCCTGGCCATCGGCGACCTTCCTCCCGAGGCCCTAGCCGCCCTGACGGCGGCGCGCCTCGCAGGCATCCCCAAGGCAACCCCTGGGGACGCGCGAGTCCTGGGATGTGGGAATGTCGCCCGCCGTATGGTGGGCCGCAGCGCTGCCGAGGTCCACCGCAAGGACATGCGGGCGGCGGTGGGGGGCCAACAGTTTGGCCTGGCTAAGGACGGATGTGGTGCTCTCCACCGACGCCTCTGCGCGATGGCCAACTCGAGCCCAGGCAAGTGGGTGGCGGCGGTGGACCTCGGGGATGCGTTTAGCAACATCCCCCGCGACCTCGTGAAGGAGGCCGTGCGCTCCAAGGTGCCCGCTCTGGCGCCGCTGGCGGAGGCCTGGCTCCCTGCTCGCGCGCGCCATGCGGCGGGGGGTGGGTCCCAACCTGCCCAGCTGGTCGACCAGATCCGTGGCCTCGACCAGGGCTGCCCGATGAGTCCTGGCTTTTACGCGATCGGCACCGCGGATGTTCTCAGCATCGGTCGCATGGCCGTGCGCGCGGTGGACGTCGAGGGGGATTGCCTGGCGCTCTTGGACGACGCGTACTTCGTGGGCACCGCGGCCGCTGTGTTCCGCGGATTGGATGCCTGGCGAGCCCGCATCGAAGCCCACGGGATGAAGCTGAAGATGTCCAAGACCCAGATCTGGTCCCCGGATTCCCGCGCTGTCCTGCCGCTGGAGTTCGCGGAGTACGCCCAGTACCGCGTCCAGAAGCTCAAGGCGGTGGGGTCTACCCTGGCCTGCGCAAACCACGACGTGGACGCCGACTGGAGGGGCGTCCCGCTCACGGACTTTGCCGTCCCGGAGGACCTCGACGAGGGTGGCCTCGTGCCGGCTGGCGGTGCCGGGGTCGCCCCAGGCGCCGCCGCGCCACTCCCCTGCGGCGAGGCCTTCCTCCAGAAGCAGGACCGCTACTTCCGAGAGCTCCTGGCGCTACGCACGCGCGGGCTGTCTGCCTTTGACGCCTTCCAGCTGGCGCGGATCTGGTCGAGGGGCGCCTGCGTCCACATCCAGCGGGCGCTTCCGCTCGCGGCGGCGCGGGGCCGCAGGGTGGATGACGGAGTGGTCGCATTCGTCAACGCCCTTCTGGGGGTCACGGCTGCCCCAAGAGAGCAGATCTTCATGGAGGTCAGCGACGGAGGTCTGGGCTGTGGCAGCGCCGAACAGCGCGGCCCCGCTGCCCTCCTGGCGCCCTGGGAGGCCGGGCTCCACGCGGCTGCCCAGGAGCTCCGCGAGACGACAACGATTGGCTTCCTTCGGCGGTGGCTGGGCCTCGGCCGTGCCCTCTCGGCAGCGGGCGAGGAGCAGGGGCGGTTGGCAGGAGGCCGTCGCCCCCAGAGCGATCGCTGGCAGGGCCTCTTGGAAGGGCGGAGGGGCAAGGACCAGAAGACGTACGCCCAGCGCGTACGGGGCCGCGCCGCCAAGACGTTCTTGGCCGCGCTGCCGGTGA